CCAGAAGAAGTTAAAAATATCCACTACATACGCTACAGCGGAAATGGACGACACGCCATTTCTTTAAATGAAATTAATTGCTGCTATATGTGTGTATGTATGTACATATGTAGGCACATGCTAAATGTGAGCAAACAACATTTTGCTTGCATAGTCTTCTGTTCTCTTTCACTGCAAGTTGAATTATTTTAATATCTATTGCAAAATTTTGTACAGGCAAGACTAAAAAGTAGAAAATAAATAAGATAAAATACATAAAACTTTTTAATATACAACGCTTTTATAAATGGACTAAAAAGTAGAAAATAATATTTCTCAGTCCCACAGAATTGGTTATGATAACTTTTGATTTTGAAATTTCAAAAGTCATTATAAACAATTAATGACATTGAAAATGAAAAGCGTGGGGCGCATGTAATACACTTGAATTGATATGAAAAGTAACATATGTATGTATGTGGGCATATGAATAACGACCGTTTAAAATCGATCTCAAATTTTTACTTTCGCTGTTGAATGTTATGTAGTTTGACTATTGTCAATGAAATCGAATGCTTTGCACTGCATGCGCTCCACATTTTTCGTTTTCAATATCATTAATTGTTTATAATGACTTTTGCTAAAATTTCAAAATAAAAAATTATCAAAACAAATTCTTTGGGACTGAGAAATATTATTTTCTACTTTTTAGTCCATTTATAAAAGCGTTGTATATTAAAAAGTTTTATTTTATTTTTATTGAAAGGTCGCGAATTGCTTTTCTATCATCGAATAACATACTTAACAGTCTGTTTTCGTTATGTGTATAAAATGCGTTATTTTGTATAACAGAATTTATAATTTCGAGAACATTATCATTCAAAAATCGAGTCCAACGTATGAATTTAGATAACAGCACAGCACTACCATAAATTATTGAATTGTAGTACTTTATGTTAAAGTACATTGGCGCCTATACTTTCATAACATACATAGATAACAATTTCAAATTTGGCGACGGATTTTTGGCAGTTACATACAGACGTAAAATCCTACTGGCTTTTGTAATCCAGCGAGAATTAGCTATATTTCCAGGCTTGATATTTGCTAGATCATTCGAGCAAAATCCATTATATATAGCATTCGCCATTTTGTATAAATATTTGACATCGGTAGACAATTCTCGTCCCTTTTCTTCTGTTAAAGGCGGTGGCATATCTTGTAATGGAACCGTTCGAAATCAGTTACAACATGCAAATTTTCACATTGTTTCAACTGTGGTGCCAACGTGCCAGTTGAGTAATTTTTTTATTATTCTTATTAAAAACTTGAAGTTTTACGAAAGCTTGTTGAATTTTGTTTAAGTATTGCAGAATACACTATTAAAAACAAGTAATATAAACTAAATTGCAAAAAAATAGTTTGTTATAATTTTCCGGTTCCGTTCCGGTTATAATTTTCCAAAAGGACGTAAAACAAATATAGAAAACTGGAAGTTAAAATGAGATAAGTCTGTTTTTTTAATCTTACAGGAACATTCAGTTCGTGCATTCATGCCTTGCATTTAAAGGAATTGAATAATTAAAGTTTTCAATTTAATACGTGTACATCGTTTGTTATAAGTATAAATATCATATACATATGTATGTCCACATTAAAATATTTCTTTATTAATCATCATTGCACTAGCATAATAAAATCAGTCTTGAAAATAAATACATATGTACAAAATGTGCATACAGTGATTCTTTTCAAATATTACCAATGTTTTTCGTGTTGAATGTTTTTTGTAAACTTTTTATTTGCAGCTGCGAGTAAAATATGGCAGAAAATTTCAAAATTATGTTGTTTGCTACATATGTGTATTTATTTACTTTTAATAATTTTATTTTTAATAGTTCCATCTTCTATATAACAACAGAAATCACATAAATAAAAGTTTCAAAGCTTGCACAAAATTCCCAAAAATAAATCAAACTTAAAAAAAATGTTCACAAATATTTTGAACTTTTTATTCAGAATTTTTATAAGATTTTCGGGTATGCAGTTTTATAGCCCATTCACTTTTAGTCTGATAAAGCGCAAGTTTCAAGTCGGTAGAAGTTACCGTTGATTTTTTAGAATTTTTTTTGTGGAGGGTGTTGCGCATTTTCTTCCATATAAAATGCTTGTCAACTTTGTGCACACACGAGCGCCTTGGCATATGCAACGGATTTGTGCCCAGCACAGCGGCAGCACAGTTACTGAATCGCACAATCGTACTACAGAGCAGAAGAATCATATCGTTTCCGTAATACATCGTCCCTACATTTAATTTTATCTCTAGCAACTTTGCATTTGGCCATGACGACAGGATCTCCATGCTGGTCTTTGAATCCAATATCTGAGAAAAGACTGGTTGCCAAACAAGCTGCTACTCCAAAGCGTCGTATCTCTGAGTGTAACAACCACGCTTCTTGGACAGTAGTTGCACTTCGTCCATTGCATGATCACTTACATCACATTGCCGCAGATTCCATCGGATCTAGATCGTATGTTGTATCGGAAATTGAAAGTGCTCTTGTTATAAATGTGGGCTGAGAGTCATCTTCTATATGTTCTGGTATGGTCAGTTTTCTCTCATTGTGTTGGTCACGCATGAATTCTCGCAATTTTTTTTGGAATCAATTGACAACTTCATTCTTTTGTTAGTAAATCACATTGACATTTGCCAATGTATAATACTTTTTCTTGCTATGTGCGAATGTCTTCCAATTTTTTCCAGCTGTTCGTTTTATATTTTCTTTTTAGTAAACATCAATAAAATTGTTTTACTTTTTAATAACACTAGTTCGAAGTATAATTGGAATATTAAATTTAGCCCAAACGGCAACGACTTTGCCCACCACATGAGGCGTAAAACTTTCATAAGAAGACATTTTCTTAATATTTTTAGCACGACCACTCTGAAAGAAATAATACTTTAATATATAACGGTACGTCGGTAACGCAATATCTAATAAATCATTTGATAGACCGAACGATAAAGTATCCTGTGAAGGCAAAGTATCAATCACAGCATTGTATGATTTAGAATTCTTGCCGGAACACTCTACGGCTATAGTTTTTTTTTTATTGCCAAATGGTGGTATGTTTGTTTAATAGCTTGGAAAAAAATAATTGCGACAATTTTTAATCGAAAGGTAGGGAACATCGAAGTTTTTCCTTTAAAAATAGTCCAATTGATTAAATTTTGCATGCTATGCTAGAGAGAAAAATTAACATCAAAATTCAATTTATTATTGACTAAAATTAAAAATAAGGAGGCTCGAAATCTATTTTAGAGCTATGCTTCCATGGACTTTTTTGTTCAGAATTGACAGGAGAATACTTCTGTCGGCGAAACAAAGTCGGTTATATTTTCTAAGAACAAATTGACCCGCCTTAATGTGGACTTATTTCAGATGAAATACCTCTTTCATGAAAACAATTTGAGTGAAAAATTTTTATCCTGTGTAAACAGTACCAAATAAAGCAACCCTGTACTGTAGAAAAGTGTGAAGTTGGTATTGGCGAAAGACAACCACCACAGTGAACATACGCGGTGCTCCGTGCGATTTTCTTTCACAGCAAACAAATACAAACGCCGACATGGCTAGTGTGGGGGACTGTGCTGATGAAGTGGCGATTGAAGGTGCCCCTGCCGGAGCCGCACATTATGGTAAGCAAAATGTTTATCCATCTGCCGATAAAATTAATTCCGCTGGCAATGAGGCCTCTGCTGAGGGTGCCGCTGCCATCACCCCTGCCGTAGCCACTACAACCGCCATTGCCGCTACTACTGTCGTTGCTAATGGAGCTACCACTGCCGTTGCCAGTGCCACCGCCGTTGCCGATATTGTTGCCAGTGCCACTGCCGTTTCCGATACAGTTGTCAGTGTCACTGCCGTTGGCGATATTGTTGCCAAGGCCACTGCCGTTGCCGATGCTGTCGACGTTGCCGGTAATGTTGCTGCCACCAATGCTACCGCCCTTCCTGCAGTCAAAACGGCTAGCATCGACAACTCCACTTCTGTTGCTGTTCCCGCTACAGCAAGTATTGACGAGGAATTGTCTTCACTGCATAAGTAGCTAGAAATAATGATGTTAAAACAACGTATTTTCGAATTGGAGAAAGGCTCAGCACCACCAGTGTGTAATGCTGGCAACAAAAACAGTTACTGTGATGTCGAACATGCATTAACAAAGTTCAGTGGAGATGACATTGCATACTCAGTGCGATATTTTTTACGAGATTTTGAAGAAGTGATGAACAGAATTAATGCTGATGAACGTTTCCGATTTTTATGCCTGCGGCGGTCTCTTACCGGCACTGCACGTATGTTTTTGTCCATGACAGCCGCATTCACGTACGATCAGCTACGCAAGCAACTAACTGCTGAATTTGACAGAGACGTCAGCCGGCAAGATGTTTACAAGATGTTAGACCAACGGCTTTGGCAGAAGAAGACCGAGTCACTCCACTGCTACATTCTCAACATGCAGGCCATCGCCAAAAGATCTGACATAACCGAAACTGAAGTCATCGACTTCATAGTTGAAGGCCTAGGAGATAATATCTCTAACAAAAATCTCCTTATGGGCGCACGCACAATTGAAGAGTTGAAGATGCTAGTGGCCAGATACCAGCAGAAGTACTTACGTCGCGAGAGTGACACAATCAAAAGGCCGGCAAAGGAATCAATAAGGACTACGAAGGAAGTTGCCCACTGTTTCAATTGTTCGCAAACAGGGCATATAAAACCCAATTGCCCGTACCCGCTCAGACCAAACGGTTCCTGTTTTCGCTGTTGGCAGATGGGTCATGAGCATCGTTCCTGCCCCAATCCGAAGAAAATTCTTCGTAAAACGGACAAACGACAACAAGTCCTGGCAGTTGCAGAGGTTGAATCCGGTGAAGACGACGAAGACGTAGGCGCTTACAATTTTGTGAGTATTAAGTTTAGTGACTGTAAGAAGCAGGTATTTAATAAGTATATTTCTCTTTTTGATACGGGTAGTCCCGTTAGTCTGTTACGGGAATCTGATATTCCGAGAGAATTTATTAAAGGACACAAACAACCCAAAATATCAAAATACGTTGGTGTCGGAGGGAAGAGAATATTGATTAAAAATGAATTAAAATGTTTTGTTAAATTTAAAAACGAAATAAAAGAAGTTACATTTCTAGTTTTGTCAAATGAATGTATGCTCATGCCAGTAGTTCTAGGAAGAGATTTTTTGTCCAAGTTTAGGATTCGCTTAACAAAAGTAAAGCTGAGATATGTTAAAGAAGAACTAATGTGTATTAGAGAAAAAATGAATTATTTTGTACCCCAAAGAAACGCACTTGCGAACCTCAGCAGATGCGATCTTTTAAAATCATATGACGAAAATAGAAAACTCAATTCCGATCCTTTGGTAACGCATGCCAGTAATGATATATTTTGCATTAATATAGAATCTTTCGCGTTAGAACCAGATATAAATCCTAAATTGAATAGGGAACAATTGGTAGCCTTGAACAATATAATTAGGGAATCTTACCTAGAGCCAAGAGAAACTGCAATCGAGCCGCTTGATTATGAGATGAAAATTCATCTAACCACCGAAATACCATTTTATTGCACTCCACGACGACTGTCTTACTCAGAAAAATCCGAAGTACAGAATAAAATTGACGAATTACTGAAGGAAGGAATCATTAGGCCCAGTAATTCGCCATATGCTTCTGCCGTAGTACTAGTCAAAAGAAAAGGAAAGATGCGCATGTGCATAGATTATCGAGGTCTAAATAAAATAACTGTAAGGGATAATTATCCACTACCTTTGATAGATGATTGCATAGAATACTTGGAGTGAAAACGAATATTTACGGTTTTAGATTTAAAAAGCGGATTCCACCAAGTTCGCATGTCACCGGAATCTGTCCCCTCACTGCTTTTGTAACACCAAACGGCCAATTCGCATACGTAAAAATGCCGTTTGGATTAAAAAATGCTCCGGCTGTATTTCAAAGATTTGTGAACACAATTTTTAGAGACTTAATTGATTCAAAGCGAATAATAATTTATATGGATGACATTATTATAGCTTCGCAAGATTTTGATGATCACAAATTGTTGTTAGACGATGAGCTTTCCAAAAGAGGACTCAAACTGAATCTTACTAAATGTAAGTTCGGTTACAGTGAAATTGAGTATTTAGGATATTCAGTTAGCTCCAAAGGCATCTCGCTAAGCGATTCGCACATAAGCACTATTAAACGTTATCCTGTTCCTAAAAACCAAAAAGAGTTACACTCTTGCATTGGATTATTTTCATTTTTTCGACGATTCGTACCGTCATTCTCACGGATTGTAAAACCATTACAACAGTTGTTGAAGAAAAATTCGACTTTTGATTTTGATGAACAGTGTATTGCCGCGTTTGAAGAATTAAAAACCAAACTCACCGAAAGTCCAGTGCTAGCAATTTATAATCCATTGAGAGAAACAGAATTGCATTGTGATGCCAGTTCGACCGGTTTTGGGGCCGTTTTGCTACAGCGTCAGGACGATGGTAAATTTCATCCAATTTCGTACTTTTCGAAAACAACGTCAAGCGCGGAAAGTAGGTATCATAGTTTCGAGCTCGAAACATTGGCAATCATTTATGCTCTGAAAAGATTTAGAGTATATCTGGAAGGAATTCCATTTAAGATCGTTACGGATTGTAACTCGCTTGCTATGACTTTGGGAAGAAAGCAGGTAAACGCACGAATAGCCAGATGGGCTCTGGAACTAGAAAATTTCAACTACATCATTCAACATAGAAAGGGGTCATCAATGGGTCATGTTGACGCGTTAAGCAGATGTCAAATTGCTAACGTAGATATTAATGAAGCCGAGTTTCATATACAATTAGCTCAAGAACGTGACGATTTGATAACAGATTTAAAAGAACGTATGGAAAAGGAGGAAGTAAAGGACTTAAGATTATCAGACGGACTAGTTTATAAAGTAAAGCGAGATGGGAAAACCATGTTATATGTGCCTAGAGAAATGGAAGATAATATTATAAGACTAATGCATGAGAAAATAGGACATCAGTCGGTTGACAAAACTTTGACGAAAATTTCTTTGTACTATTGGTTTCCAAAAATGAAGCTGAAAGTTGAGTTCAAAACTGTCTGAAATGCATCATGTATGCAATGCCAGTTCGGGCAAATGAAAGGAATTTCTATAATATACCGTTTGATACAATCCATATTGACCATTTTGGTCCGCTGCCGACAATACAGTCTAAGCGTAAACATATATTGGTCGTAATCGAAGTTCGTAAAACTTTATCCCACTAATTCTACAAGCACTCGGGAGGTTAATGCAGCATTAGATAAATACTTTAGCTACTATAGTAGACCGAGGAGAATTATAAGCGATAGAGGGACTTGTTTTACGTCACTAGAATTCGAGAACTTTTTGATAAAAAGAAATATAATTCATGTAAAATCGGCAGTTGCTTCCCCACAAGCTAATGGACAAGTAGAACGTGTAAATAGGGTCTTAAAGACAATGTTGGGAAAGCTTACCGAGCCAATCAATCATGCGGATTGGTCAAGTAAACTTCTTCAAGTGGAATATGCCATTAACAATTCAATTCACAGTACTACGGGAAGTTCCCCAAGCAAACTCCTATTTGGGGTCGAGCAGAGAGGCGAGATAATAGATGAGTTTACTGAGTACATAGAGGATAAAGTAAATCAAAACGAAGCTATTGAAAAGAAGCAAGAATACAATTTAAGTCATTTCCTGAAGAATAGTGTGAAGGCGAAGGATATAAAGTAGGTGACTTTGTTGTTATACGAAATGTAGATACAGTAGTGGGAACAAACAGAAAATTCGTCCCTAAATACAAAGGACCCTATGTAGTGTTTAAGGTTTTAGGAAATGACAGGTATGCCATAATGGACAATTGCCAGCTAACTCAGCTGCCGTATAATGGCGTTATTGAAGCGAATAGAATGCGAAAGTGGGTCGATAAAAACGTTGAAAAGGTCGCTTCTGCTGATGAGTCGAACGGATAATAATAGGCTATAAACTTACACTGTAACATAATACGTAGCAGTTAAGCGTTAGAATTTAAGATGAATTGTACAGTATAGTAATTATACATTGAACACTGTAACGTACAGCATGTAAATATTAGTACCTAAGACAGTCTAAACATAAATGTAATATAAAGTTTGATGACCGAGGTTGGTCATAGTCAGGTGGGCCGAGTTGTAAACAGTACCAAATAAAGCAACCCTGTACTGTAGAAAAGTGTGAAGTTGATATTGGCGAAAGACAACCAACTTCACTCTTTTTTGAACGGCTGAACCTCGTGAAGCAAGAAAGAAACATAAAGTTATTTAGAAAAGTTAATCCTCATATACCTTGAATAAAGAATAGACGCTTAAATCTGTCAGGTTCCAAATTAAATGCAAGTAAAAAAATAAATTTTCATGAAATTGCTTTCATGAAACTGGATTTTAAGGTATGTATTTGGGCAGGTGGTGATTTGAGATTTACCACTGCACAACTCAACCCTGGTGTCTCCGAATGAAGCTTTGACGCATCATAATGTTGGCAAATCACATCCGTTGGGCCAATCGTAACACACGAGAGTTCAATATACTCAATGGTTCAATAGGTGGATTTAGTCTGACGTTCACGGCACCTTTTCTTACTTGTCGATTTTTAGTAATACCTCGACCTCAGCACCACCTGGCAGCTCTTTTTTATAATTGGACTGCCTTTAACGTCTCCAATACATGTTTTAAATATCCGCGAAATCGGATCATAAAAAAGATTTTTAGTAATAACTCAACTCCAGCGCAGTGATCGGACTTAAACAAAATTCTGTGTAGTAAAATCTGGAAAAAAGTGGTAGATTTCAAAAAAAAATGTGGTAGATGTCAGGTTTTGTATCAAACGTTGTACAAAAATTAAAAAAATTCTGCAAGGTTTCAGTTAAAGTGCAAACATTTTAATTAGAATCTAAAAAAAAAATAATAATTTTAGTATAATAAAGTGCAAGATTGAAATGCGTTTTTTTTCTTTGACAGTGTAAAGCCGTTCCTTTCTTATCAAGATACTTTTCCAACATATTTTGAGAGATTTCTGCAACCTTACGGAGTGCTGCCAGCTTTTCTTTTTATCACATCACGATGCAGCGAACAAATGTGGCACGTTCCTGAAACCGCTAGTAGGGATTTGCCGATTTTGACAATTCTCAAGTAAAAGTAAACAACGTCTTAGAAACTTTAGATGAACTGGAATTTGCTAATACTTTCACAAAAATCGCCGTTTTTAAAAATTTTTGCTATTAATTCTTTTTATAAATCATATATTTTGCAATTTAACACAATAAAACCACATTTCCCGTCGAAAAAATTGTTATTGACAAAATTTATTATTTTAGAGTTTATTTTATCCTCCCATTCGGCTTTGTTTACTTTTACTTTTACTCCATACGAAGTTCCAGTACTGTACCATGAACACTTTCAGAGATATGCAGTATGAAATGCGGCTTCCAAATTGTTGCCTATATATTAAAAAATAATACCAGGAAATGCTAGCTCGACTCTCAAACCCGCTGTGAGAGAGCACTGAGCAGAGCGGCATACGCGAGAAGTGGAATCACATTTCCCGCTTATTAGTGGTACGAGAAGGAGTGCCAAGAAGCGCAGATAAAAAAGGTGCCGCCCACAGGGCCGCGCTGCGATCGGGCGCAACGCGAGTCATGTGGAACCGTTATAGGGACTGAAGAAGGAAGCTAGACGTATTTGGCACAATATGAAGAGAGTGGTCGAAATAAACACCCGAAATTTTTAGTAGAGTGTTGAGCGATGTGGTGCCCGATGTCCGGAACGTACTCCAATTATGGAGGGAGCACTTTTCGTCCATTTTGAATGGCAGCAACACTGACGGAGGTGGAGAAGACGAACCCGAGCCCGCGGTCGATGACGATGGAGTCGATATCCCAGCGCCTGACTATGACGAGGTACGAATAGCGATTATGCTGATGAAAAGAGACAAAGCTGCTAGAGCTGACGGCCTGTCAGCCGAGCTATTCAATTACGATGGCAAGGAGCTAATAAGGTACATGCCCGACGACTGGAATTCAAGTGCGCTCTGCCCAATCCACAAGAAAGGGGACCCTGCCATGCGTGCCAACTATTTTATTGAGCGTGTGGTGTGAAAGACTGAAGCCCTCCGTCAATGAACTGATTGCGCCTTACTAGCGTGGCTTCAGATCAGAATAGAGGAGGAGTAATCCGAGCCGTTTGATACCAGTCGAGGTTTCAGACAAGGTGACTTTTTTTCATGTGGTTTCTTTAATCTGACGTTGGAGAAGATAATAAGAGTCGCAGAACTGAACTTCTTAGGCAAAAAACTTTAAAATAGCGTACAATTTCTGGCGTACGCCGACGACATCGACATTATTGTTACAAATAAGGGTTACGTCTGTTACAAATAAGGGTTGCGTCTGTTCTAAAAGCATTCAAAACGGGTCGCGATGGTGAAGAGGAAGGCCCACTGCGATGGAAGGACCAAGTGGATAAGGACTTGGCTTCACTTGGCATTTCCAAATAGGCGTCAGTTTGCACAGAAGAGAATCGGCTTGCGTACTGTTTTGGACTCGGCCAAAATCACGTAGGCGGTTATAGCGCCAAATAATAAGAAGAAAAACTTTGTGTATCCCAGATGTATTTGCTCAAGCCAGGAATGGTCTAGACCCATCAGCAATGTATGTCTTTCACCACACATCACTTTAACGGAAACGCCACTTTTTAGTTTTTCCAGAATACTGGTAAGTCAAAGGAAGGCAAACAATTCAAATTTTGTGTGTATGGCATGCACACACAAAGAATATTGTAGGTATTGAGGTTAAATTGTTTTGAAGTTGCTTTGAGAGACTTGGATTAATCAAGGAATTG